CCCCCCGCAGACGGAGAAGCCGACCCACTACAGGTCAGTGCCCGCGCGGGGCCGCCGGGGCGCCGCGAGGGTGCGGAGGGCGGCTTCGCGCGTTCCAGTCCGCGCGCTCCCGCGACCTACCCATGGCCTGGGGAGTCGCCAAGCCGGGCCCCGGCGGTCCGTCCCGCCGCCCCCGCCCCGGGCCTCAGCGTTCGCACTAAATCGGGCTGAGATCTCCTGAGGTCGGAGCGCGGCGCCCAGTGTCTGGGTGGCGCTGGGCTTGGATTGGGGTCTGCGCCTGGCTCTGAGGTCGTTGTGCCACGCCTGAGCTTGGGGTGTTGCGTGCGTAGCTGGGATGGGGGGCACGCCCGGGATCCGCCTGGAATTCGAGTGGGGTCACACCTGGGGTTGGGCATCGTGACCCAGGGTCCAAGGAAGCGCCTAGGGTCAGGACCGTGCCCCGGCTCACGGGGTGGTCTAGGATTGAGGATTGTGCCCGGGGTCGGGGATCGTGTCCAGGGTCCGGGAAGCTCATGGGATCAGGACTGTGCCTGGGGTTCGGGGGGGCGCGCCTGAGATTGGGGACCATGCCTGGGGTAGGAGGGGACGCGTCTGAAGTCAGGGACCGTGCGCGGGTGGTTTGGCGCTCTGGGATCACGGACGTGCCTTGGGTCTGGGGAAGCCCCTGGGAAGGCTGTGGGGACAGCTGGTGGGGATTATCTGGACTATGAGTGGGGGGCGTCACGCCAGGGGTCCCGCCCCCCTCTCTTCAGCCTCTGGGCCGCCCAGCGGTGGCATTCGAGGCGACCTGCAACGCTGTTTGTCTTTTTAGGTATCTAAAGGAGTTTAGGACAGAGCAGTGCTCCCTGTTTTTGCAGCACAAGTGCACCCAGCACAGGCCATTTACCTGTTTCCATTGGCATTTCCTAAATCAGCGTCGGCGCAGACCTCTCCGTAGGCGCGATGGCACCTTCAACTACAGCCCGGACGTGTACTGCTCCAAGTACGACGAGGCCACCGGCGTGTGCCCCGACGGCGACGAGTGAGTATCCAGGATGGGGTGGGCAGAGTGGGGATTCAGGGAAGGCCGCAGCACCCCCAGCTCTGCATGTGACCTTGGCGTGGCCTCCCCAGGCTCCTTTCAGCACTTGTAGACTGGCCATATTTTCCCTAACAAGTGGTGGGGGGCGGGGAAATCCCTGTTTTTAAGAGAGTTGGGGAAAGGTATGTGTTTTAGGGATAACCCTTGTGTGATTCAAACCTATCTTGCTCTATTTCGCACTTTTGATTCTGACACAGTTCTCTAAATTCCCTGCATCAGAATCCTAGAGGTGGAGTTTCAGGTGTAGGACCGTTTTACTTAGAAACCTTGATTGGAATATTGGTTTGCATTGTAGAATATGTCTGGAGTGTTTCCTTTCTTGATATTTACATGTTTAATTTTTTAAAAAATTGATTGGAAAGTTATTCTATTTGCAGACTCATTTGTGTAGCACTTTTAAAGCTTGAGAAATCAAGGTTTCTTTCTTTCTTTTTTAACAAGTTTCCTAATGGTGTCATGAACAGATGTCTTTATTTTGGAAAAAAGTACAATGGGATAACAGGGAAAGTAACAGTCAGATTGTATATCACGTGATGAGTGGAAGGTGGCATCAGGAGGTTTTACTTTCTTTCTGTTGGCTGCTTGAGAGTTCTGAGGGTGGTGCATTCCTGCCTGGAGGCGAGGTGACATTTGCATTCATGAAGGCTCCTGACCCTTTGAAGGGGCCTCTCTGGGGCCCTCCCTATGGAAAACTACTTCACCTGCCAAACACACAGACCCATGTAAAGTCTGTTTCCTTTATTTTTAAAAAAATTGCTTGGGCCAGGGAGTAAACTTTTGATCTATAGTGATTATGTTTTATCAACTTTAAAACACTCATTGAAAAGTTTTTAGTTGAATGCCATATAGTTAAATAGTGGTGTTGTTGAGGCAGCTTGCTGACCAAACTGCTGGCCCATTTTGTTTCAGGATCGTGTTCAGCTTCTATGCAGGTCTAAGAATGCAGTATTCAATTGCTTTCAGCCACTCTTTTTTGCAAACAGGTCTTTAAAAGACAGGTATTTGTCTAGTTGAGTTCTGGGGTCAGTCTCTGATTTCCCATGACCAAACACATTGTCTAGACCAAGGGTCTTTTTTTTTTTGAGACAGAGTCTCACTGTGTTGCCTTAGGTAGAGTGCTGTGATGTCACAGTTCACAGCAACCTCAAACTCTTGGGCTCAAGTGATTCTCTTGCCTCAGCCTCCCAAGTAGCTGGGACTACAGGCGCCAGCCACAACACCCAGCTATTTTTTTGTTATAGTTATCATTGTTCTTTGATAGCCCCAGGCTGGGTTTGAACCCAACAGCTCCAGTGTGTGTGGCTGGTGCCCTAGCCCCTGAGCTACAGGTGCCGAGCCAGACCAAGGGTCTTGAGTCCAAAGTGGAGCTACTGCTGCCAAATGCTGGTTTGGGGAATCCATGGAGGTGTGACGACTCAGCTTGTTTGAGTTTAGGGAACTAATTGGAAGTATTCATTGGTGATGCTTTTAATGCATATAAAGAAATCTTTCAATAGTGGTTTGGGGTTCCAGAGTCAGGATATCCTGGTGTGGGTTTAGTCTTGTGGCAGGGCATTGGGGTGGTGCCCAGATCTTAGCAAGATGAACACCTGCCTGTAGATGCTCATTTAAAGTTGTACTCCAGTAGTAATTAGATGATAAGCAATTATCTATTAGTATGCAGTCTAAATGGCTTTTAGTTTATCTGAGAAATGTAGGCGGGATGAAGATGCTTGTTTGGTGTTACATTTAAACATAGTAAGAAAATCACATGTACCACTCTTGACACCAAAAAAAAAAAAAAAA